GATGATGATGATGATGATGATGATGATGATGATGCTGATGATGATGATGATGATGATGATGATGATGATGATGATGATGATGCTGATGATGATGATGATGAGGATGATGATGATGATGATGATGATGCTGATGATGATGATGATGATGATGCTGCTGCTGCTGATGATGATGATGATGATGATGATGATGATGATGATGATGGTGATGTGACGATGGTGATGGTGCTGGTGATGGTGATGGAGATGGTGATGATAGCGGCCCCCCCTCCCCACCTCCCCTCATCTCTCCTGCCCCCCTCCCCCGGTCTCCTGTCTCCTGTCCCCTCCCCCCCCCCGCTCTCCTTTCCCTCCCCCCCCCCTTTCTCTCCTGTTCCCCCCCCCCCTCTCTCCTGTCCCCCCCCCCCTCCCCCCCTCTCTCCTGCTCCCCCCTCCCACCCTCTCTCCTGTCCCCCCCCCCCTCTCTCCTGTCCCCCCCCTCTCCTTTCCCCATCCCCCCCCCCTCGCTCCTGTCCCCCCCCGCCCCCTCTCTCCTTTCCCCCCCCTCCCCCCTCTCTCCTGTCCCTGGGTGGCGACCCCCCCTCGGCGCTGCCCAGGCTCCCCAGCTGCGCCGCCCTCCCCCCGCGGACTCCGCGGACGTGCGCTCCATCGCTTGGCGTCGCCTCCTGGAAACGAGCTGCCCGCGCGGGGTCGACCCAAACGGCGCTCTGGCGCTTCCGTGGGCCGTTTTCGTTCCGGCTTCGTTCTGCAGCGAAGGCGGACTGGAGGCAAAACGAGGGAAACGAAAGCGACACGAGGGAGGGAGGGGGGAGGGAGGGAGGAGGGAGGAGTGAGGAGGAGGGAGGGAGAGGAGTGAGGAGGAGGAGGAGGAGGAGGAGGAGGAGGGGAGGAGGAGGGAGGAGGAGAGGAGGAGGGAGGAGGAGGAGGGAGGAGGAGGACGAGGAGGACTGCTTCGGTCGAGCTCCGATGCCCACCGCCGGCCGCCGCCGCCGCCGTCCGCTGGCCGGCGTGCTGAGCTCCGGGCCGCCTGCCCGGAAGCGTCCGGCTCCACGCGGTCTCGTTTGGCCTTCGCTCGGAGGCGCCGTGGAAGTTTGACGCAATCTCCGGGCTCCCCGAACCCTCCCTTTCTCCTCCTCCTCCTCCTCCTCCTCCTCCTCCTCCTCCTCCTCGTTGTCCTCCTCCTCCTCCTCCATCTGCTCCTCCGCCTCCTCCTCTTCCTCCTCCTCCTCGTTGTCCCTCCTCATCCTCCTCCTCCTCCATCTGCTCCTCCGCCTCCTCCTCTTCCTCCTGCTCCTCCTCCTCCCTCCCTCCTCCTCCTCCTCCACCTCCTCCTCCTCCTCCTCCTCCTCCACCTCCTCCACCTCCTCCTCCTCCTCCTAGTCCGTAGCCGTTTTTTGCTCAAGATGACAACGAGGGGGGCTGTTCAGCCCCGGGGCAGCAGGGATACCGCTAGTCCGCGGCCAGTCCCCGACCGTTTTCCCACTCATTGTCTACTCTGCGTGGTTGGCTTTCTGTGGCTGGCGTCGGAGCCTGGTGGTGCACTGCACTACGAGGGATGGCGCCGAAGGCACGTGCAGATGCGGCGGGCGGTGGCAACACAAATTGTGCAAGGACAAGTGGTCAGGTGCTAAGCTGGCCAACCACGCCCATCGGAAGAGTCGTTTCAGGTGTGGAGTGACCAAAGGCAGTGCATACGCAGACCCGCCGTCAACGTCTTCATCGGCACCTAGTGTTCCGCTACATGCAGCACCATGGTACAAAGAGAAGTTGTCGATGCAACAGGAACTCAGCATCCCCGAGAAGTGGATCAAAGAGGCAGATGCGAAATTGCAGCAATTGGGAGGCGACGGCGAGAAGAATATGGAAGTGGAGCCTCAGCATGGCGGAGCAGGTGGCGACAGAGACCCGAAGTTGGAGATCTAGAGGCTTACCAAGCTAATTGGGTCGACCAGCGGAGTGGACGATAAAGCCATCAAAGCACACCGTGAAGAGGCCATCAAAAAAACGTGACGTGTGGTGTAGCAAGGGCTTGTAGCAGAACCCGCTGCAGGTGCGGATCAAGCGTGTCGAGCAGAAGACCAGGGCTCGCCAGCACAGCCAGGCTCACTGGCAGCAGAAGGAGGCCAACATCAGGACCAAGATCGAGGCGCTCGAGCAGCAACCGAAGGATGCGCATGAGCAGCACGTGGCCAAAAGGCAGGGAGTTGCTGGGGCTGGAACAGCACAGGCAACAGCTTGTGGGTCGTGCAGCTCGTCCTCCTGTCACGTCTGCTGATCGTGAAGAAGAGTCCAAAGCGACGTTGGCGAGCCTCACTGCTGACACCGAGCTCTCGGTCGAGGCGCTGGGGGAGATGCTGTTGGCCGTGGGGGCGCCTGTCGAGGCCGCGGAAGCGGTGGTTGCAGGTTGCAAGGCAAGAGTGCAGCGGGGTTTGCCGAAGATGCCCAAGACGCGCAACGACGCGCTGAAGAATGCAGGGGGGAAGAAGACGACGACTACTTCACCAAGGAGCAGCTCGAACCGAAGAAATGGAGGGAGTTGTTCGCTTCGTGTGGGGGTGGTGCTGCTGTTTCTGTACCTGATGGTGACGATGAGCTGCGGGAAGAGGCCAAGCGTATTTTCAGTGCGATGGACGGCCATCGGAAACCGGTAACTGTCGCCATTTGTGGGGCTTTCAGGCCTGAAATCAGAGCAAGCATCAAGCGGGAACTTCGTTTGTGACTGAACTGTGAGGAAGTTCAGGCGGGAGCCCTCTCCCTATGAGCCCCGAATTTCATGTTGGCAAACCGGCGGGTCATCGGCAACCTGTAACTGTCGTCATTTTTGGGTTCCTTTGGCCTGAATTAGAAGGAAGTATCAAGCGGGAGCTTCGAAAGGGTGAGTGAATTGTAAGGAAGTCTCAAGCGGGAGCCCCCTCCCTATGGGTCCCGCAGCTCATGTTGGTAATCCGAGCGGGTCATCGGCAACCGGTAACTGTCGTCACTTTTGGGCTCTTCAGGCTTGAATTTGGAGGAACTATCAAGCGGGAGCCTCAAAAGTGTGAGTTATTTGTGAGGAAGTCTTCATGTTGGTAATCCGAGCGGGTCATCGGCAACATGTAACAGTCGTCACTTTTGGGCTCACCAGGTTTGAATTTGGAGGACGTCTCAGGCGGGAACCCCCTCCCTATGGGTCCCGCGTTTCATGTTGGTAATCCGAGCGGGTCATCGGCAACCTGTAATTACGCCGACGGAAGGACCCCACATGATAATTTGTTCAGGTTACCCTAGACTTTTTCTTCCTCGCCAGACGGCCTCACTGGGTCCCGAAACGGCCCACGAGGGCCCGAAGCCTTCCGGAGGGGCTCCACGACGATCCAAGAGGCCGCAAAGACGCCCCAAGAGGGCCCCGAGCGCACGCCAAGGAGGCACAAATCGTCAAATTCGTATGGGACAACGTATAGTTTCAGCATGCCCGCCTTGTGTGCTCCTCGGCGGCCCAGGACACACCAAGAGGCCCCCCAAATCGCCCCAAGAAGACGCCAGCGGCCCCTAAGAGGGCTCCAAGACGGCCCACAAGAGCCCCAATACGACGCCACAGAGCCCTGAAACGGCCTCAAAGAACCCCCAGACGGCCCCTAGTCCAAGACGGTCCAAGGCCTCCTGGACGCCCCGTGACGGCCCAAAATGCACCCCAAACTTCCGTAAACGCTCCCAGAGCAGCCCAAAAAAACTTCAGAATGGCCCGAAAAAGACCCCCACCAAGCAGGCCCAGAGACGCCCATTAAAAGAGCGGTCGGTGAAGTATAAAGCTCTTCTCACCAAGGCTCCCAAGGGCGAGCCGCAGCGTAGAGAGCTCTCCCAGGCACAGCTCCCACGAGCGAGCGGTGACGTTGGGGGCTCGCTGGGGGTCCGCTCGCGCCCCGACGGCCCGAGCGGACCCCTAGCGAGCCCCAGGGCAGCCCAAGAGTGCCCGACGACAGGCGAGAAGCCTCCCAAGACGGCCCAGGAGACTCCCCGCCAAGCCCTGAGACGGCCAAAATCATAGATTTGCCATCGCTTTTTGAAGGATTCCCAGGCTCTTGCCACCTGGGCCCTAGAACGGCCCAACACGGCTCCAGGACCCTGCGAGGTCGTCCCAACACGGCCCACGAGGCGCTCCAAGAGTGCCCCGAGACGGTCCCACAACTGCACAGGACGGCCCCGTGACGGCCCAGGAGGCGCCCAAGACGGCCCATGAGGCACCCAAGACGCCCCCAGGAGCGGCCCACGACGGCCCAAGACGGCCCAAGAGGCCCTTACGCCGGCTTCCGAAGGCCACAACACGGCCCCAAAGACACCCAAGACGCCCGAACAGAAACCCCCCGTAACCCCCAAACGCTCAAAAAACCCTCCTAGAGGCTCCCAAACGGCCCCCTCCATGTTCTCAGTAGCTTCAGACTTGCCTCCAGGAGAGGGGGAGACAGAAGAGCCGTCTTGGATGGCCCGAGAGCGGCCAGGGGCCTCAGACTCACGCTGGTGGCCACTGCGGCTTCGAACCCACCGCCATCCTGAAAGCCTGTCGGCAACATCTCCGCGCAGAACCCGCGAGACTTTGTCACGAGCTTTCGTGGACGTAGTCCACGGGTTCGCCCTAGTCAGCTACAACGTTGGGATCAGCGCGTGCGAGAAGGGCGGGCAGTGGCAGCGGGCGCTTGCGCTGCTGAGCGAGATGTTGGAGGCGAAGCTGGAGCCCAATGTCATCAGCTACAGCGCTGCGATCAGCGCGTGCGATGGCGGATCCCAGATCTCCGGCGTCGTTTCTTGTTTCACATCGCGGGCTCCCAGTCGCCTGGCCCTCGCGCCCAGAGCGATGGCTCTCGGAGGCCAAAACAGCCAAAAGATTCCCGCCGTGATCTCTTCATCACGAGAGGAGGTAGGGGATAGCGGATGGGCCGGCACTCCCGCTTCCGTCGAGCAGCATGGCAGTCTCAGAGGAAGATTCAAGTTGTGGCGAGGCGTTGTGGCTTGCCTACACGTGCACGCCCACCAAGAGATGATCTAAGAATCGCTCGTGGTGTGCACGACATGTTCTCAAAACCTGTCGGGCTGAGACCGCCTTGCTTCAACAGAGCGGCCTGACCGTCGGCCCAGATGGGTAGGTCGGCCCTGCCAAGAAATAAAGGATACCCCTGTGTCCCGTGTCTCGCGACCCGTGCCCGTTACATTCCTATGGCAGTGTGGCCTTCGGAAGGGTCTCGTGTCCTCTCGGGTGTCCTGTCCAATCAAGTCCGACTGTATGCTCTGAGGGCGCTTGTTCCGTTATTGGGACGTTCTCGTGTTCTGAGACCATGCCGTGGCGAGCCTATGGGATTAATTCGGGCATGTCCCTCTACAAGAGGAATAACCAAACATAGTCAAACAAATAGTTTGGGGACGGTTTTCCGTGTTTTTTTATCAAGTATGCTTTGCATTTATCGTCCAAACCCCGCCTGTAGGAGGACGTGCCCGACCGAACTATAGGAACGCCTGGGCGGTCGGCCCCTGCTCAAAACGTGCCGCCCTCGCCGCCAGCCCTATGTTGCTCCCATCTTACTCAGGGACCACAACACAGAAATAGTTTCGAGCATCCAGAAAAATGTACCGTAAAGGTGTCGAGCGAGCATCGGCTCCCACAGCCCGACGCGTGAAAACCATCCAGTTCCGGTATGGTAGTGGCCTCCGGCCAGTACCGCCGATCCGGGACGCTGCGGATGATGATGATGATGATGATGATGATGATGATGATGATGATGATGATGATGATGATGATGATGATGATGATGATGATGATGATGATGATGATGGTGATGGTGATGGTGATGGTGATGGTGATGGTGATGGTGATTGTGATGGTGATGGTGATGGTGATGGTGATGATTGATGATGATGATGATGAGTGATGATGGTGGTGGTGGTGATGATGATGATGATGATGATGATGATGATGATGATGATGATGAGATGATGATGATGATGTGATGATGATGTGATGGTGATGATGATGATGGTGATGTCCGATGTGATGGTGACGGTGGAGATGGTGATGATCCCGGCCCCCCCTCCCCCCTCCCCTCTTCTCTCCTGTCCCCCTTCCCCTCTCCTGTCCCCCCCCCCTCCTCTCTCCTTTCCTCCCCCCCCTCCTCTCATCTGTTTCCCCCCCCCCCACCCCCTCTCCTTTGTCCCCCCCCCCTTGCTCCCCCCCCCTATCTCCTGGTCCCCCCCCTCCCCCCCTCTCTCCTGTCCACCCCCCTCTCTCCTGTTTCCCCCCCCCCCCCCTCTCCTTTCCCCCCTTCCCCCCCTCCCTCCTCTTCTCCTGTTTCCCCCCTCCGCCCCCCCTTTCCTCTCCTTTGCCCCCCCCCTCCCCTCTCTCTCCTGTCCCCCCCCCCCCTCCTCTCTCCTCCCCCCCCCCCCCCCCTCATCTCTCCTGTCCCTCCCCCCCCTCCTCTCCCTCCTTTCACTGTCCCCTCTCTCCCCTCCCCTCTCCTCTCCTTCCCCCCCCCCCCCATCTCTCCTGTCCCCCCGCCTCTCTCCTGCCCCCCCCTCTCGTCCTTTCCCCCCTACCCCCCCCCCCCCCCTCAGCTTGTTCAATTCTTTCGTCGTTGCGCCCCCCCCCCCCCCCCTTGCACAGCGAAGCTTGAGCGAGCCCCCCCCGTTCCTCCTTTCCCCCCCCCCCCTCGCGTGTGTCAATTCTTTCGGTGGTTTTCGTCGTTTGCGTCCCCCCCCCCACCCCCCCTCCAGAGCGAAGCTTGAGCGAGCTCAAGCCCACGCTCTCAGAAACTCACACACCGATCGGCGAATTTTCTTGGTATTCAATTCTTTCTGGTGATCAAGGCTAAAGCAGGTTGGAACATCATAGCACTCGGGATGAAACGCCGGTCCCGGGAAAGGGGTCGGGACCTTTGGGGGTTGACGCTGTGAGAGAACCGTGGCGTCTGGGGTCTGGGGGTATATGGGGGAGGGGGGAAGCCTTCTTAGGAGGCTGCTTCTCAGGAGGCGCCGGCCTTGCACTTACTCAGGTCGGGCATGTCCCCCTACAGGCGGATTTTAGAGGAAACATGCAAAATAGCTTCTTTTTTAACAAAAAAAGAAGAGAACAAAAAAAAACAAAAAAAACTCAAACCTTGCTTAGAATAGTAAGACAACAAATCGCTGGACCATCATAACGCCAGTCCCCGCCCAGCCAGGACCGCGGCGCGGGCTGCGCGGCGCCGGCCGGGCACCTGGCCCCCACCGCCGCCGCCGTGCCCGCGGGCTTCGGCGGCCTCGCGCTGCTGCCGGAGGGCCGCCCCTCCCCTCGTCGTCGGGGCTCAAGAGACCCAGGCCCCCTCGCGTAGGGGCTCAAGATACCCGGACCCCCTCGAGTGATGAAAAAAACATGACGCCAGGTTGTGTGCCATTTTCGGCATTTGGGGGCCCTCGCCAGGCCCCGGGACCGACAAGAAAGGACTCGGGATGAAACACCGGTTCTGGGGAATGGGTCCGGCCTCTGGGGTTCGCGTCATGAGAAAATCATGACGTCGGGGGTTTGGGACGGGGGTCCATACAAACGGGGGTCAGCCAGAGCGCTGGATCTTGCAGGATCCTGCAGAGCCAGGGGCGCACTGACCAGGGCGTGGGCGCAGGATCCTGCAGGATCTTGCTGGATCCTCCAAGGCCTGACTGACCCGGGTCTGGATTCACCGGAGATCTCCGATCTCGTCCGGGCACAACAAAGAACCACAACCACAAGGGAGCGGTTCTGTTAATTACCCCCTCTGGGCCATTACGCGCGTCATGTCCCCTACCCTCCCCCCCTCCCACCCGCCCGATGACGCAACGCCCTCCCCCCACTCAGTGTGTCCCCGGCACTGCCGCAGTGCGCGCGCAACCTCTGTCTGGGGGGGGCGGTGCCACCTTGTGCTCCCTCCCGTCCCCCCCCTCTCCCCTTCCTCTCACAACGCCCACTATGGCCGCGAGTGAAAAAATGCGCTCCGTCCTCGATGCGGCTCCGCCTCTCGTGGGCGGCGTCGGGGTCGGAGGCCCACGGCGTGGCACCAGCACCGAGCGCGGCAGGCTGCCTCCAGCGAGGGCGGCGGTCGGGTGCCGTTGGGCTCTTCGGGCGGCTGGGAGATTACCAAGTCAAGTAGGCCGTGCATCCTGTAGGACTCGCGGGCAAAAAAAATAGGGGAACGGAAAATGGCATAAACCTAAAAACTCGGAGGTCCGCGCGGAGTCCTTGGGTCCGCGCTGGACGCCGGAGGCGCTGCGAAGGGGCCCCAGCGCCGACCCGAGAAATCCGCGCGGACCTCCGAGTTATGATGTTTCTGCCATTGTTCGTTCCCCTAGCAATGACAGATGCGTATGGAGCACCTTCAGAAGCAAAAAAAAAGAAGGTACGCTATGAGCGCAGCTACGCTCATTGCGTACGATCTTGCTCTGCCTTGATCGACCCGTTGGCCCCCCGAGGGGGCGATCTTGAGCCCACAGGGGTCCCACAGGGGTCCTCTGGTGCGGGCCCACGGGGGTCCCCGCAGCGCTGGCCTGCACGCCTGGGTCTGGCGTCCCCGCGGTCTCCTGAAGCCGCGCACCAGCAGGTCAGCGCAGCCGATCCTCCTCCTGCTCCTCCTCCTCCTCCTCCTCCTCCTCCTCCACGCGCGCTGCCTGTGAGCAGGTAAGCGCGTGCGCGGTGGCTGCTGGCGCCGCGCGGGGCGCGGCCGTCGGGAGCCGGGAGCCTTTCCCCTCCGCACGCTCGACTCCTCCTCCTCCTCCTCCTCCTCCTCCTCCTCCTCCTCCTCCTCCTCCTCCTCCTCCTCCTCCTCCTCCTTCTCGGGTCGCCTACGGCCCCGGGGGAAGCCGTGCAAAGAGACGGGGGTCAATACAAACGGGGGTCATCCCGAGCGCCGGATCTTGCAGGATCCTGCAGAGCCAGGGGCGCATTGACCCGGGCTAGCAGGCAGCATCCTGCAGGATCTTGCAAGATTTTGCAGAGCCCGACTGACTCCAGTTGTTGCGTTGACCCAGGTCAGTGCGTCGCCGACCAAAATCGAAGGTGGCGGGCGCGGGCGATGCGGGCGTCGAGCCGGCGGTCCTCGTGGTCCTCCATGTCGATGGCGCCCTCCTCTTCCTCCTCCTCCTCCTCCTCCTCCTCCTCCTCCTCCTCCTCCTCCTCCTCCTCCTCCTACTCCTACTCCTACTCCTACTCCTACTCCTACTCCTCCTCCTCCTCCTCCTCCTCCTCCTCCTCCTCCTCCTCCTCCTGCTCCTGCTCCTCATCCTCCTCCTGCTTCTCCTCCTCCTCCTCCTCCTCCTCCCTCAATTGTGGGCGCCTTGAAGCAGCTGCCCCTGAACCCAAGCTTTTGGCACGGATGCCGAGTTGCAGCAGGCAGCTGGATTGTCAATGAACGTGTTCAGACAGCCCCGCCGCAAGCGCCGATGTGCTGTTGTAGAGTCAACGTGGGCCGGATCGGGGGGATGGCACGAGGGCGTATTCCCAAACCAATGCGAGCAAGTCCGCCGCAGGCGCCGATTTGCGTGCTCTGACAAGTTCAGCGCGGGGGGGATCGCTGGTGGGCCACCCAGAACGAATGCAAAAACAGCCCGCCGCAGGTGCCGAATCTTTGCCTTGCTCAGTGAACGTAGTTTGGGTCGCGGGTGGGTCGCGGGCTCTCCACCTCCACCCGGAAGGAATTCAAAAACAGCCCGCCGCAGGCGCCGGACATTTTGAATTGTACACTGGACGCGTTTTGGGTCGCAGGTTCTCCACCTGGAACAAATGCAAAAGAAACCCGCCGCTGGCGCCGAAGTTTTGGCTTGTTCAGTAAACGTATAGTTTGGGTCGCGGGTGGGTCGCGGGCTCTCCACCTCCACCCGGAAGGAATGCAACAACAGCCCGCCGCAGGCGCCGAACATTTTGATTTGTACACTGAACGCGGTTTCCGTCGCGGGTGGGTCGCAGGTTCTCCACTTGGAACGAGTGCAAAAGAAGCCCGCCGCAGGCGCCGAACATTTTGGGTGAGTTGCGGGGTGG